GCTGCTCTTAGGTCAGAAAAACAGATGACATGAAATGAAACGAGGATGTTGCCTTGCCAATATTTGATTGGATTATTTTTCTTGTACATTATGGTGTACATACGAGTGTTCATATTGCCAATATTTGATTGGATTATTTTTCTTGTACATTATGGTGTACATACGAGTGTTCATAATGAACACCTAGCATAGCCTATTTGATTTATTTTGTGGACAAAACTGGTAGTCCCGGGATTAAATCCCGGGTCAAAGGCGACCCCTATTGGAGGGGGATCTGCTGTTATGCAATAATGCAACTAGTCAAGTGCACCACGTCAGATAACGTAATTTAATTTGCTTTGTCCTCCTGCTAACCTACTTTTCCAAATCACATTTGATGTGGTTTTCTAGTTTCAACATAATCTATAATATAATAAATATCATATCAATCAATAATCATTTTGTTATGATTGATACCACTTATTGTGACATTAATCACCGAATTGAGATGTTGAACTTATATGACAAATAATAATGAAATATATGATCAAATAAAAAAATAAAAGAAGACAAAAATATGACAGAGAAATTAAGAGAATTTATTGATTCAAAAATAATGAAGAAGATAAAATTACAATAGATCCTATAATTCTAGTAATATATTTTCTCACATGTAATTGTTACCCAAAAATTGTATAGAAGAACCTAGTATTTATAGGGAACATGTGGGGGACGTCCAAACCCTTTTGTATAGTTGTTGATGAAGTAGGATGCCAAAAAATCTAGTTCAAAACGAAGTATGAGAGAAAAAATAGCAATCAGGTACTGTAGCAGCGCCGGAGCTACTGTAGCAACGTTCAGGCGCTAGGTTTCGGATTAATATTCCAAAACATGTTTTCAAAGTGTTTTTCTCCATTCTGAACTCTTTTTCAAGTCAATATCAATTTAAACTTCCAATGGGCTTTCAAAATAGAAATTCAACTTGATATATAACTCCAATAGCATTCCAAACTTGAATTCTTCTTGATATTCACTGCAATTAGAATTTTTCAATACTTCAAACAAAGAATTCGGGTCATACCCAAGTTCTAACAATCTCCACCTTGACACGAATTCTACCAAAGAATGAACTGGCTTCTTCAACAATAACCAAAAAATTAATTTCTCCAACCAAATGCAAGACACTCCACCTCTTCCAATGAATCCAAACACAACTCTGCAGAATTACCTCAAATTCCAAAAAATCATAATGATTTTGAATTAACTAAAATAGGCTATAACACACTCCAAAGTAGAATCATTACCAAATGCTTCTAATGAAGACTCATTGCTAGATTGAACACCTTTATCTTCACTTAAAGCATGCTTAACAAAATCAACATCCACATACCTTGTTCCACTGGGTCTAACTCTAGTAACTGAATGCAATGGCACCGCAGGTGATGGTGGCAAAGCGGTATAATCCATGTCTTCAAAACTTCACTGAGTTGTATTCTTCAACTCTGACCATTTATGAGCTCCTAAAGGTATTCTACCAAACTGAATGTCCACCAATGTACTGA